TCCTGAGATAAACAGCAACATGGAAATTGGGATGGACATCCATCTCCCCATGGCTGGCTTCACTCTTAAGATCAATGGAAGTTTGCTTGGTGCAGCTGAGCCGAGAAGAAAAGGCTGAAGACTGTGTGTGGCTTGATGCAGCAGTAAGAAACTCCTATATCGTTGCAAAAAATCCCAGAAAGGTCTACGACAACTTACCATGGCCACTTCGCTTGGGCCAACTTACCACAGTCAACTCACCATAGGATAAAAGTTATGCTAACATTGAAGAAATAGTGGAATAATTAAAGAAAGGGTGCCAAAGGAGAGACAAAATGAAATGTGAATGACAAAAATTAAAACAATGTTTTAATAATTTAAAATAGTTAAATTGAATTATGGAATTGTCCCGTGGTGAGCTGGTCATGGCAAGTTGGCCCATGGTGAGTTGGCCAGGGTAAGTTGGCTGCGGCGAGTTGCCTTATTCAGCCTTCAGAATCTCTTCATCTAGATTAATTTGGCCAGGCAATCCATGAGATTTTTGTATATCACACTCTACAGCAGAAAAGGAAACTGTATTAAGGTGTCAAGCTTACCAGGGATCCTCCCCACCCCTCTCCATAGATTTGCTTACATTTTGGAAATCTTGTGATATTAAAAAACAAAGTCCCACAAGCTGACATTTGCAAAAAAAAAGTGTGAGAATGGGGAGACAAATGCAAAATAAACTGTACTTGTTTATTTAAAAGATGATAAAATTCACCCTTCCATGAAGGTATTGAGGAGAAGCAATCATCCTCCTGGGAGGGTGGCATCTGTGCCAGTCTCAGCTGTGGATCTCTCCTTGGGTTTGCTGCACTAGACCTGGGCAGGGAAAGAAGCAAGCAGGGATGGTGACAGCGATCTGGCGACTGTGAATGACTCCCGTTTAGCCTGCCTTTTGCTGGGGGGAGAGGGGGCAGGAAAGTGAAGTAATGAAAGCTTCAGAGAAGATAAAGCCCTTCTCCTCCCCACACTTGAAAGCAGGCCAAGCGGGAGTCATTCAGTCACCGGGGGGAAGGGGGAGCAACAAGTGGGACACACATCTTGCATGCAGACAGCCATGCAAGTGGATACACTCTGACCTGACATAGTGGTCATGCTCGTAGGGTGCCAACCCTGCATGGGGAAACATGGCCTGTCATAATACCATGGTTGACAACCACCTCCTATTAAGGTAGGTGTGAAGTTTTTGTCAAGTTGTTTCTTGATAACGTTCCCAGAGCAATTTATCCTGTGTCAAAATGGCAAGCCAAGGTGGCCATGGTAGCATGGTTGTCACAGCATGGCATGGAAATGTCATAGAACTGTCTGAAATGCAATCATGTAATGGGGGGCGGGGACGGGATTAGCAACAGAATTTTGGAACTGGATCATTAGTACCACAGAGGAGAGCCTTTGTTACTTGGTCACTAAGCAACTGATCATAAGTCAAGGATTACCTGTACACAGAGACTTCCAGATAAATGTGCATACGATCTGTTCTTCAGCTACTAACCTCAGGTCATCAGCCCGAGGATTGGTCTTCTCTACAGCAGAATACTGTGCCTGTATGGCTTAACAGCTGTGATATCAGTAAATTAGATGTCATAAATGTTACAAAAAAGGTGCCAGGCTTTGAACTACTAAGTCAACAACGAACAATCCTAAATAGGATTCACATCTCGCCTGGCCTCTGCTGGGACTCTCTGTATAAATGGGACATAACATCCTCCCCCCCCCCCGGTATGACTGTGGGGTCCCACATCAAACTATAGATCACATTGTGACCGGCTATAAACTGAGGGAATATATCTGCCTAGTATCTGATTTTTTAAAATTTAAACAGTTCTGTACTTCAATGGTTAGATGGCCTAGACCAGGGGTCCCAAACCCTTGGGCCGCAACCCACTACCGGGCCATGCCTTGTTCAGAATTGGGCTGCACAAGTGGTGGGTGAGCACACACATGCAGCTCGATTTGCGCTGATTATGGTCATTTGTGCTCACATGTGCAGTTCCATTTGTGCAAGTGCCAGCCACTTGCGCTCACAAAGCTCCATTTGTACAAGTGGCACATGTGTGCCTGCTTCTCACTCAAATGGGAGTTGTTGAGACTGCTGGCCTAGACATTAATATTTGAACATAGTTTTTTTTTTACTTTTATATTTTATTGGGTTCTGCTAAACTAGTTAAAATATTAATTTATATTAAGAAAGACTTAATCTGCTTTCTACCTTTAAAAACATGTTTCTCCATTTCTCCCTTTGGGAAATATAATATTCCGCCTTTTTAGTATTTCTCAAAATATTTCATTCTTCTAGAGGGGGTGTTCCTACAACCACATTCAGAGTTTTTTTTGTTTGTTTGTTTTTTAAGCTCAGAATGGATTTAGTTCCAAAATCAATTCTTATCCCTGAAATCTGGAAGGCGGTGTCCCACACCTTCCTGGATCTCAGCAGAGATCGGTTCAGATAATTTCACGGTTGTTCACTCATGGCCAGATCATCTGCCAGTGTGACCTGTTGCGGGTCGACACGTCCTTCTAATGTGTGAATGTAGCTTGACAATTTGACTAACTCATAAATGCCCAAAAGGACGCCGTTAAAGCAAACGCGAGCTGCTCTGTTGAAGCCGCTCCCGCTCCAGTCTTCGTCTAGCCGAACTGAAGCCGCTGTGCGCGAGGCCACGCCTCCAAACGGCGCTCGTGGCTAACGGTTTTCCATTTCAACCGGCGGGGCTGGTCAACGGCTTCCCATGACGTCACACCCCGGGCCAGTCCTGGGTTTATGCATCTCTCGGTTACCTGGCCGCAGAAGGCCAGGGCATGCTTGTTAATCGAACGAGATTTATGAATGAAAAAGGTGAGAAGCCCCAATCAGAGTTGGTGCAGGGAAGGTATATCGAGGGGAGAGGGTGCAGCTCTCGGATTTCTGGAGTGGGTGATCCGGCTCAGGAAAGGATCCCCCAATAGTTACTATTATTACTAGGATTTTAGGCTTTATTATTAGCCTTTTAATAAAGTTGATATTAAGATTCGCATGGCATCCATGCCTCCTTTTCAAATTTAGGAAACCATATTTTATTAACTGAAAATTGGCATTGGGTTGATTTTCAAAATTGCTCTCATATAAACCACTGTTTCACTTTATGACTGCCCCAACCTACAATGGACAGGCTCCATTCAAATTTATCTCTACTAAAAGTCTCGTGTCTGTAACCTGGGTAAAAGGGCGCATCAAGTCTAATAATTTTTAAACCAAGGTAATTCAGATGGGCCAACATACAGAATGCTTTTAGAATCTAGGATCCATGAGTCCTGTTAGACTGAAAATTTGGTATTTATGGTCACTTCAATGCTGCTGCTTTGATTGGTCCACTTAAGTTATCTAGCCCTCCAGAGGCAGGTAAATTGGCTTTTCCTTCAGCTTCTGGAGATCAGGTAGACCAATTCTGGCCTAGACCTCCAGAGTCAGGGTAGACTGGTCCATCACTGGCTGCCAAAGAGTGGTCAGATCTAGCCAAATCAGCAAGAAATTGGAAGTCGCTGATACTCTCATTGGTTTTTTTGCCTGCCCATGTCATTATGTTTCTCTGCAATCAAGAGACAAATGCAGTAACTAGTTTATGTAATAAGAGATAGCCCTCAACTTACAAAGTTACGACAACACTGAAAAAAGTAACTTAGGACCCATAGCCTCATTTACTATGGTAGTATACCATCACATAATTAAAATTAGGGCACTTGGAAAACATGTGTTTACGATGATAACATTTTGGAGTTATGTGATTACCATTTATGACCCTTGGATGGCTTCTGACAAGCAAAATCGGGGGAAGCCAGATTCCCTTAACAAAGTTGTGATTCCCTTAACGGTCACCATGATTCACTTAACAACTGCATCAAAAAAGATTATATGAAAGGCATGACTCAAGAACTGCATCCATTAGCGATAGAAATTATGGTGCATCCATTAGCAATAGAAATTATGGCCTTAATTGTGGTTGTAAATCAAGAATCTCACTACATTGATATGCCATCTCCCTTCCAGAAGCTCACATCATAAATACTGTTTCTTTCTCTCACATTATTCATACCACAATCATATAAACTATAAAGTGTATTTTTAGAAGATAGTCACCTTGTCACCATTGTTTAGCAATGGATCTGAATCTCATGTTTATTGTCAATCCAAAATTTTATGTGGCCTTCCAGCTGTTATTTATTGATAATGGGGCTGAAGATAAATATCTTAAGAGCCAATGATTCCTCACTTCTCCTGAGAACTCTATATAGCAGTGTTTTTCAACCTTTTTGTGCAAAGGCACACTTTTTTCATGAAAAAAATCACGAGGCACACCACCATTAGAAAATGTTAAAAAATTTTAACTCTGTGCCTATATTGACTATATAAAATTTAATTTCCCCCCGCCCCCCTTTACACATGGGCGCGGCACACTGGTGTCCCGCGGCACAGTGGTTGAAAAACACTGCTGTAGACCAGTGTTTCTCA